ACAAGAGGGCTCAGAGGTCAGGGCCTTGTGACACTCCATGATGAACTCTAGAACATTTGCAATTTATATTGCTAATTGATACCGATTTCCAAGAAACAATGCCAACTATTATCACTAACATTGCACTTTGTTGAGTCAAATGTCATGGGATACGCAATCAAAAGCCTTACTGAGGTCAAAAAACCTAGCAATTCCAGATGCACGATTTTCAAAATAGCTGTCAAATATGTCGTCCAGTTTTAAAAGAGCATTTTTAGTTCTGCGTTCCTTTCTAAATCCTGCTGATAAAAAAGAATACAAGAAGCGATAAAAGATTGTACAACAAAGAAGTATAAAAAGACGCAGAAATAACCACCTAAGATTATTGTGTAAAACCACCTAACAAATCTACGAGTGTTATACGGTACGTAACTGTTTACGTAAGAAAGGCGGAAAACATTTCTTAATTTCTGGAAAAACAGTTACATTGTTAGGTCTAGAGATTCTCAGGTATTTCCATACAATTAACTTCAACTAAAGTTCTTGATTATCAAATGGTTTGAGAGCTTTTTTACCAATCCTTATCAGTTCGTAAAAATAGGTAGTTGGAGCTCTAACCATATATGTCCCACAGGATTCTAATTGTGGACCATTATTATTCACCTATTTATTAATGATATACGTATTAGTCTTCTCCACTCCAAAATGCTTGTATTCGCAGATGATCTAAAATTTTTCAAATCTATGTGTATACTGGGTATCCCAGCGCACTTTTTTCACTCAAGTATCTCAATAATTTCATTTAATTATTATATTTTTCTGGGGCTATTTAAAAGGTAGGGTGCATCAGCAACCTCTAAGAGACTTACAAGGCCTTAATCAAACAATTAGGGTGTTACAAGTAGTATCAAGTAGGGATTTACTTCATCGAGCAGAATGTTGTTTGGAGTCAGAAGGTTCTCAATTTGAAAATTGAATTTAAAGTTATTGTTTTTGTATCGTTTTATTTTGCTTTAAACTTTGATTTTATTAAATTACTTAGTTGCATGATAATCTGTTCGGCCCTGGTGAATGATGCAGTGTGCTCCGAAATCTAACTCAAAATTTGGGAGATATCGAGCGATTTAGCGAAATACACTGTTTAAAGATAATATATTAAAGATACACAGAGACCCCAAGAGACTACAACCGCTGATGAAATTGATGAAATAAAGAATATGTTTGAAAAGATAGTGGTAGACATAGCAAAAATAAAAGAAAATCAAAAAACATATCAGCAAGAGATACAAACATTAACCATAGAAAACCAAGAACTGAAAGAAAGATTGCGGAGAGCAGAAAAATACGTAGAGAAGACAGAAAAATTGAAAGAAAGAACAACATTGTATTTAAAGGTGAGAAAATACAAGGTAACGAAACATCAACAGAACAATATGTAGAGCAACTTGTAAAAGAAAAAATAGGAGTCCAGGCAAAGATACAAGCGGCTAGAGTAGTTAACGAGGAAGATGACATAATAGTAGTTAAGGCTCCGCCACATAGTCATTAAAAGATGCCAAAATAAGGCAAAACGCCAACCCATTTTGCGTCTTCATTTTAACAGTTGAAGAGAAGGGCGATGCATGTGCGTGCTCATGACATAAAAATCTTTAAGGAAGAGTCTTGTAGTTTTTAAAAAACGTAGCAGTTTTTAAAATAAAAAATAAAGTGCGTAAAACCCGAGCGGATTTTTAGCGAAAACTATAACTCGGTACGCTTTTAAAAAATATCGAGGTGATAGAGAATTTTTTTCTACTTTAGGCGCCATTTTTCGTTTTCTGTTAAAATTTTACTTCTTTTAGTTATTGTAAAAAAACTGCAATGCATTTGGGGCAAATTTTGGTAAGTTAGGCAACCCAAAATATTAGCTGAGGCGGTAAGCTGTAATTTATGGCCCACACAATAGAGCACCTTTTAAATACCTTAAGCTTATTTGACCACCCTTTGAAGTACCTGACAATAGCATTAAGAAGGATAAAGCGGAGTAAAATTTGTACAGAAATATGATGCCATTTCTACGTTGTTGTTTTGATTTGGTTCCCCCTTTTAATTAAATGAATGATATTAATTAAATGGAATTTTATTATTGGAATACATTTATTCAAGCTATATTAGGGATTTAGGATATGTCTATGACAATATGTGCAGTAAAGCAAATAAAATTGCAGCTATAAAGTATTACAATTCCTAAGAGAGGAGTACTTATACTGCACAAATGGAAACGGGTACATACAAACTTGCTGACGCGGTCGGTTTTTTAATCCGGCGCCGAATATTGAGTATAGGTACGTTGGCTCCGACAGTACGAAAGGGAGAGATACATTTTATGATACCAAAAAATTTTCAAGCAGAAATTTTTAGATAGCAAAAAGGTGTAATCGCTTTGCGTTTTGTGAGTTTGGTAAACAGAGTGCTGACATCCCTGCCTCTATACACTGCATTTAAATATTAAACAATCTTAGGAAAATATCATCATCAATAAAATCATATTAATAAAATAAAAATAATAACAAAAAAGCAAAGACCACTTCAAAGCATAAAATTCAACATTTTACACTTATTGCCAAAAAAAACTTACCTAACATTTGTCTATAAATCTTTTTTCAATATATATATTTCGGAGTTGCTAATTTTGACTCCACCACGAGTCAACAATTTCTGGTAGCGTGGCATTTAAATAAAAATTTTCTAATGCATTTACCATATGTTTATTCCAGAAGTCATCATCTCTTTAAATCAAAAAATATTCTAAATCTACGTTAGTGTAGATGATAAAATAACACCATTTTCTTTCAGTTATATGCAGTGGGCCCTGTTAGACCCGATACATATAGTTGTGGTTCGGGTTCAAACTAATTGTATTATCTGCATTTATTGAACAATAATTAATTATTTTATTTTTAATAGCTCTTTAATATTTTTACTGCAAGCCGCATATAAACATTTAATCTCTGCAATTGAATTAGAATTTATTAACCCATCTGGAGAAGCTCCTAAAATTTTTTTTTCAAATTTGGTAAAGCTTCAAATTTTTCTTTGGCCTTTTCTTCATTGTCAATACCAAATTGTATAGACTTTTTTCATAAAGTTTTATCGGAATACACAATACTTTACGGTATTTGCGGTGTTAATTCCGTCTCTCATTTTGTCGTTTCTTTACTGCATTCCCTACACATTCGCTGACCACAAGTACCTTTTTCAATAGCGTTTACGTTACTCTGTGACAGCTTTATTAATAAATCCGATTTTTTTCTTTCATACGCTTCAGGTAATATATCTGCAGTTTTCGTTTGTTCATCGTCGACGATATTATTTTTGTCGGAATCCGCACTTCGGATACGCAATTTTTTAATAGAGGTTTAGGAGTTTTATTAATCGTTTTTATTTTTTCAATTTTTTTCCGCAAATGCCTTCGTATACTAACATTGGCCTCCCCAAATTTTTTTTTGAATAACGGAATTAGGAACCTACCCTTATTATTATAACTTATTGCCGCAGCAACGCATCGCCCTTGATACCATCCTGGTGCAGAAAAACTTATTCTTTTTCCTCCCACAAATTTATTAACGACAGAATTGTAGCATTCCGCAGCATTATAATAATAATAATAATACTTTATTTCCTTTAAGACAACATTTACATTGTATAGGACACGTCAATAAGTACAAAAAAAAAAACAATACACTCGCAAATCGCATCAGAAAATAATAATTAGACAACACAATTAAAGAATTCTCCTAGGTTATAAAACGCATTGTCTACTAGAAATATTTTAAGTTCTTTCTTAAACTTCGCAACAGTTTTGCAAGTCCCAATCCTGGTTGGCAATTTATTGAAAATTTTTGGACCTAAATAGCGCAAAGAATTTAATTAAATATTGCATCTGGTACACGGCACGGTAAGGTTGTTAATTTGTCTTCTGTTTATAACACAAACGCATAGTTATACTATGAGTTTGTCGTACAGTTGGTATTGTATTTTTGTTTGCATAAGTATAACTCGCCATCTCAAAAATAATCAAGTATGTCAAGGTTAAAATTTCATATTTTCTATTTCTACAGGTATCGGTTTTCCTTAGTCCAAAGATCGTTCTTAAAACTTTTTTTTGTGTTACAAAAACATCCGATGCCATAGTTAACAGCCCCACAGGCATATCCCATACCTCATCCTAGAATCCACCTGCGCATAATACAAACCTAAAGGTTGTGGTTTCGACAAATAAGATCTTAATGTACGAAACATATACACACACTTTGATAGCTTAGAAATAAGACTTTCACAATGGCTGTTCTATGTAAAGCAATGGTCAAAAATCACTCCGAGAAATTTTACCTCATCAACATTATTAATTCCAGTGTCATTTACTTTCAAAGATATATTTTCGCATCTTTTTTATCGAACGTGGAAGCGTACACACTGAGTTTTATCTGTATTCAAGAATAATGAATTATCACAAAACCAGTTAGAAACTTCATTCAGTACCCTCTGTGACTTCTCTTCTATCTTGACATTTTGTTTGTCTGAGATTACGATTGATGTGTCATCTACGTAAATCGTAAATGATCCTTCCCCCGCAATACTATCTAAATCATTCACATATAATACGAATAAAATTGGTCCAACAATCGAACCTTGTGAAACGCCGACATTAATATTTTGCATATTAGAATTAGTTGCTGTAACAATATTATGATTATTCTTGCTTGTTATACTAACATATTGCTTTCTGTCATGTAAGTGTGTCTTTATCCAGTCTAAAGCGTTGCCACGAATGCCAATCCGATCTAATTTAATGAATAATCTTTCATGACTTACGCAGTCAAATGCCCTGCTGAGGTCACAAAATACTCCAACCGGGCACTCGCCTTCATTAATAAACTCCAATAAGTTCTCATGATATTTTTGTAATGCTGTTGCCGTGGATCGTCCCAAACGAAACCCATGTTGCCTATCTGATAAAATTGATAACTTATTAATGTAACCTAGGAGTCTCTGAACAAAGCAGTATTCAAAAACTTTAGAAATCCTGATGTTATTGTTATGGGTCTATAGTTTTCCATCAGTTGGGGGTTATTTTTTTTAAATATAGGTATTACTTTGCTGGTTTTGAGTAAGTTAGGAAATTTCCCCGAACTGAAAGACAAAGTAACTAAATAAGTAAGTTGATTGGCAATAGTTGTTATACTATGTTTTATAATACACAAAGGAATATCGTCTAGTCCTGCTGAGCTCTTGTTTTTCATTTTTGTCAATAACAAGTTAACTAATTCTTGCGAGTGAAAAGGAGTTAGATAAAGTGAACTTTCTTTTGAAGATGGAAAATTTATTCGATTTTTATTATCGTTTTGCTTGGATGGAATCTGATTAATAACATTCTCTGGAGCATCTTTGAAAAAATTATTAAATGCGTTATCAATTAATTTTGGTTGTCTAAGCTGGATACCATTTCTTTCAATTTCTATGTCATTCACCTTCTTATCTCGTCCAGAAGCTTGTGCAATTACACGCCATGCCGTTTTAGATGGATCTTTGGACATAAAGATTTTGTTTTGAAAATATTTTTTTTTGTTGATGCAACAAGTTGAAAGTGATCTTTTTTTGCCTCTTTATAGACATTGTTCTCAATACCAAAAAGTAAACTAGACGACAAAGTTGCAACTCTATTTAAAACTTGTTTGCAAGGTTCGTATAAAACACCATTTGCGAAAGTAGAAAATAAAATATCATTTGACTGTCCACTTTTATAACAAAAATAACTTGCACATTGTTCGTGATTGCCAAATATGTGCTGGAAAAAAAGGAAGAGGCTTATTTTTGCTAAATTTAATAGCACTTATAATAGGTGTTCTAAATTTTAGAAAACTATTCTTACAAACCTTTTTAATGGTGATATCTGCTTTCGTTGTTTTAACTATTTCTCTAATTTTGGAACAATAATTACGAAGTATGTGATTTCTACATTCAATTTTTTCTATAAAATAATATGCACCATATGGTTTTGCAGCCCGAACTTTTTTTAATACGCTACTATCCTCGTCGCCTATAATTCTCTTATAAAGTATCTAAAGTAAATCCCTCTAATAAGATAATTGAAGATTCCATGGACATCTATGTCCATGCTCCCAGTTTTTAAAACAGTTATGTGTTGGAATTTCTTTTTTCTGTTTCAAACAGATTTTACAGAAACTACAAAGTTTATTTTTGACTCCAACATAAAGTATTTTTTTAGTTCTGGCACCAATTATGCGTCCTACCCGAGACAGTGCATTGTAACTGGATTTGTAAGAGCATTTGTTCCAAGCTCCATCGACAATAACGGTAAGGTATGGGACGCAATCATTATTTACCTCCCTCGCCTTCACAGCTAATTGGTACTCTTCTTTACCTGCGTTTTGGTTTGTCCTTTGAAAAGTGCTTCCATGCTCTTTAGAACTCTAACCTCGGCTTTACGATATGTCGCCTGGGGTATTTGAGGGATATCTAGAGCTGAACAAAATTCTGAAATTTGAGAATAACCCACCCCCGTTGATCTAACTCCACAAATAGCTGCATAATTGACTTTGTATATATGATTTTCAGGTTCTGTACAAAAATTACCGAATATTCCGTACATATTACATTTGTAGTAGAAAATACTTTAAACCATAACAATTTTCGTGAGTTATTTCAATATTATCTAAAGTACAGCCCAACATATTATGACTGATTGATTTCAGTGTTGTTAATAAGTGGTCTATGTCAACAATTCTACGTCCAGTACTAATTTCTCGACGTGTCATGACCTCTAGAGTACGAAAAAAGTGGTCTCCCGTTTACGTCTGTCTGTCTGTCTGTCTATCTGTCTATCTGTCTGTCTGGAGTCTGTATCGATTTTTTATTAGACAAGTGTTCTTCGAAACTACTGGATTTGCCATATTTTATATGTATATTAGAAATATCATGTAGATGATTAAACGCTAACTAAAACTTGGCAAATCATCTCCACCACCAATGGGATGACGTCATCTCCAAAATTTATAATACAAGTTTTTTAAATTTTATAAAATTAGATACTCCTGCACTTGTGGTGTGTAAATCCGTGTAAAATTTTCACCCTAGACATCTACAATTTTTGGAAAAAATTTTAACTTACCCGGGTTCTCATAAAAAAATAAAATTTGCATAATCAAATTTTATAATTTTTCGAAAAAGCTGGGTTTGTTTTATTGTGTTTCAGAGGCGAGAGAAGTTCTGTCGAAATAACCTTCAACCAATTTTCTTCATTCAAAATATATACATTCCGAGAGGTAACTAGGTATGTACCTAACTAAATTTCTAAGATTTTGGGTTGAAAAATTCCAAGATTACTAAGAAATACTCACAATAACGTACCTTCGTACCTACAATAAAATATTCTTGGAAATTTAAATTTACTTTTCTACCTACTTACGGAATATGCCCAATGCGTACGAATTTTTATGGAAACAGGAATTTAAAAATAACAGTAAGAATTATGGTCGGAATTATATATATGAACAAGCATTTTTTTGTTGTGTGTATTTCGAGTAAAGATCTCAACAGTCTCTGACAATGATTATATTAATTTATTTTAAAACACACATTCGGCTTTTTTCATTCCTTATGACAGTAAATTAAGTTAAATCACATATCAAAAATTCTCTTTCAAGGGACTTTATGCTAAAAAAAAGTAGGAGGTGCTATTTAAAAAATTATCGATGACGTCATACACCTGTCCAATATCTCTCAAATCTTTTGAAACTAATATTACAAAATGGCAATTTTTATATACCAGTAGACGTGTTTTTGCGTTTTTACTTCTTGAACGTAAGCTAAGAAATATTGTTTGTTTTCTTTCATAGTAGATAAATATTTTAGTTCCTTACTCTGCTCTACCTGCAAGCTGGGATACACTTCCCTCGCTGACAATAGCAGTAATAAAACTAGTTATTGTAAACGAAGTGAACGATTTTAACCCTTAGAGATGAGTGGCAGCTGTCATAACGAGGTAGCATGGGTGTTTTACAAGTTGCATACCTTTTAAAATAGAAATTTTCTTGAGGTGTGGTGGAGCCCTAAAGTTGAAAACTGGGATAGGAAATGAACCATTATGAAGCAAAAAAGCAAATTAAAAGGAACAGAAATATTTAAAGATGACGATTACACGAAGAGAGAAAGCGAGATACAAAAGAGGATAAGGGTGATGGCGGCCGGAGAAAAAGCGAAGGTAAGGGAAAGGAACGGAAAACGAATTAACGAATAAAGAAAAGAAAAATCGAAAACTTATGATTGCATCATGGAATGTCCAAGGAACGTTCCAAGAAGGGACACCACGACAGCTTACATAAAACTATAAAGGTACGACATAGCTATAGCAGCGATACAAGAGATTAAACAAAAAGGTAACAGCATAACAGAAATAGGGAATTACATATTCTCCAATAGTGGGAACGAGAACAGGATTCCTCGTAAGAAAGAACCTAAAAGAAGTAGTCACGTTCAAACCAATCTCCGAAAAATCAGCCTGATAAATATTCACGCACCGACGGAAAAAAAAGACCTAGAAACAAAAACAGAGTATTATGAAGAATCATTGAAAGAATACCAGAAAATACCAAAATATGACATCAAAATTATTATAGGAGACACGAACGCCAAAATAGGTAAAGAACAGAGATATCGACATATAATTGGAAAACAAAGTAAACATGAAGAAACAAACGAAAATGGAGAAAAGCTAATAGAATTCGCATAGGAAAACAGCATGATAGTAAAAAGCACAGTTTTTGCACGCAAAAAATACATAAAGGTACTTGGATATCTCCAGATGGCAAGACGATCAACCATATAAATCGTGTATTAATAGACAAAAGAAATGCACAACTAATCACCAACATAAGAAGCTATAGAGGGGCCGAATCAAGTACAGACCACATTTTAGTAATAGTACATACAGAAGAAGAAATGCCAAAAAAGGAAAAAATTGACAGGGCACAACAAGACATAGATTTAAGAAAATTCAAAGAGGGTATACAACAACAGTACGAACAAAAACTGACAGACAGCATAAAGAAAAACAGAAAGACAGACTCGCTAGAAGAAAAATGGGAAATGCTACAAAACATTATATGGACTACCAAAAAAGGCGTAATAAGATTCAAAACAAGCCACACGAACAAAGCCGAACGGTTTGATGACGAACGTAAAACAGCATTAGAAACTGGAAGAAAAGCAAGAGAGACGTACATGAGAACAAGAAAAGAAGAACATCAAAAGCAGTACCAACAAGAATATATGCAGAAACAAAAACGTACCAACATGGAAGCACAGATACGACAGATTGAAGAAAATTTATGTAAGAAAGAAATAAAGAATTTTTACCAAGATGTCAAACAAAAGAGGAAAGGTTACCAACCAAAAGTAATCTACTACAAAGATAAAGAAGGAAATTTAATAGGAGACGAGCAAGCAACTGTAAAACGATGGACAGAATACTTCGAAGAACTATTAAACGAACAGACCACAAATCAAGGCATAAGCGAATTCAGTAACAATAGGCGAGAAGACCTGAATGAAATACTAAAGCAAATGAAGAACAACCAAACTCCAGGCAGCAATGGAATAAGACCTGAGATGTTGAAGTATGGAGGAGAAGAATTTGTAGAAGAAATACATCGACTGATAGTAGAATGTTGGAAAAGCGGATAAATACCCAAACAATGAGAAGAAGCGGTACTGTGCCCAATATTAAAGAAAGATGACACAAAATGCGAAAATTACCGCGAACTAAACAGAAGGCTCAAACAACACATGGAAGGAGCTGTAGGAAAATGCCAGGCAGGATTTAGAAAAGATCAACCATAAATCAAATTTTCATACTAAAAGAACTTCAATTAGTGCATTACGAACAAGGGATTAACCTGTACCTACTGTTTATAGACTTCAAGAAAGCCTATGATACAATCAATAGGAAAGAATTACTGACAGTCATGCAAGAGCTAGAAATACCAAATAAGATGATTAGACTTATTGGAATGACGATAGCAAACACAAGAAACCGTGCAAGAAGTAATAATAATAATAATAATAATAATAATAATAATAAGACTTTATTGCCCAACAGATTATTATCCAATGACGGGACAATATATTACAATTAAATTAAGCTACAATTCAAAGAAAAGAAAAAAAATTATACATAATTAAAGAAATAATTACAAAAATTACAAAATACAGTACAGTGCTCTCTAAATCTGAACCTTAAATATAAAATAAAAATTAAGTAATATAATATCATATTGCTTTAAACAGTACAGTTCACATCACTAAAGTTGCGTAAAATTGCACTAATACTTGAAACAAATATGTCACAACGGTCTGCTACTTGATTCATAGATTTGCACATCCTGTATACTGGTGAATTTACGAACGATAATTGACACAATAAGTTACTGCAGTCAATGGTGCCCGCTAAAAGTTTTTTCAAAAAAATTACACCAGCAGTATTACGTCTGGAGCGAAGGGACCCAATATGATATTCCGAGCAGCAACAGTTGTTGTGAATATCCATTTAGGGGATACACAGCGTGAGTTCGAAAATACAAATACTCTAAAAAGCGTTGCTGCACAAATTCTAAATTGAGTGACTGATAATTGTAGAATGGCGACTATATAATTGATGCGTATTCAAGTTTGAAGCGAACCAATGAATAAAATAATGACATAAGAGCTTTAGGATCAGTGAATGATTTTGTATTTCGAATTAAGAAACCTAATACTTTAAGAGACGATGTAACAACATGATTCATATGGTCATTAAAACTTAGTTTCATGTCAAATATTACTCCAAGATCCCTTGCAAAGTCAGACCTGTTGAGGTTTGTATCACATATTAAGTAATCAAAATGTAGTACGTTGAGTTTGCGAGAGTACGAAACTATATGACATTTATCTGTGTTTAATAGAAGATCATTATTATGACCCCATCTACTAACTCTGTTAAGATCTTCCTGCAATAGTCGACAATCTTCTTCAAAATTAATAACTCTGTAAAGCTTTAAATCATCTGCGTATAAAAGACAGTGAGAGTTAGAGATATGAGCAGTAATATCATCTACGTAAAGAAGGAAGAGAAGTGGACCCAAGTTTGAACCCTGGGGCACACCTGATGATTGTAAATAATTACTCGTAGTAGATTTACAATTATTATAGACAACACTCAACTTTCTGTCATGTAAGTACGAAGTAAATAAAGATAAGAGAGGAGTAGAAAAACCAAATTGATGCAGTTTACACAGAAGATTAATGTGATTTATGCGGTCAAATGCTTTTGATATGTCGGTGTAAATTACATCAACCTGTAAATTATTATCTAAACAATTTGATAAATACTGTGTGATGCAAGTGAGGTTACTGATTGTTGTACGGCCACGGATAAAGCCATGCTGTTTGACTGACAATAAATTTTTTACGCAAGGATATATGTAACTGTAAATTACACTTTCAAAAATTTTTGCAAAATTTGACAACATTGAGATGGGCCTGTAATTACGTATATTCGATGATTCACCCGATTTAAGAACTGGACAAATTCTTGCAAGTTTCCAAACATCCGGGAATGTGCTAGTTTGAATACACTTGTTGAAAATAAGGGTTAGAGGCGCAAGTAGCGCATTGGAGCAGTCACTAACAAGAAATGTAGGAACACAGTCCAAGCCAGCACTCATGTTGGGTTTTAGTTTTTTTATAGATGAGTCAACTTCTTCATCAGATATAGTAGTAAGATTTATAGATGGCCAATTAGTTGATGTTGCAAAAGGATCAGCAGTAGGAATAGACGATGAAATGAAAACGCTGGAGAAGAAGTTTTTGAATGCTTCGACAATTTGTTTGGGGGTCGACAGATCTGTTTCATCAAACTGCATTCTACAGGGAATTCGTGTTCGCCCTTGTCATGAAAGAATTGCCAAAATTCCTTAGGATTATGTGTTAAAGAAGACTGCACCTGATTCAGATAAGATTTATAGTCTCTATTAACCAAAACTTTAACATTTCTACGAATGTAGTTAGAGAACTCATAATAATTAAACTGAAATTTAGTTATTTTAAATTTACGATGAATTATGGTTTTTTGTTTAATTTGTCGTTTAAGTTCAGGTGAGTACCATTTGGGAAAACAATGTCGACCAGGTTTAAGTTTAGGCACGTGTTTATCAAATAATGAATGTATATATTTATAGAGTTGTTCACATAACATGTTGACATTTTTTGTTTCATCTAAAAAATCCCAGTTAATGAAATGTATATCACGATAAAGAGAGATGAGTCTGCTTTTTTAAAATTGTACATCTTGGTGTCCGATAAAAATGGATAGTTTGGAGGAGCTACATGGTCAATTAACAGTGAGATATTTAATGCAGGGTGGTATGGATCATTATCTTTTGTAACGGTGCATTTATTTAAGGCAGGGTCGTGAAAAACTAGGTCTAGACATCGGTTGTCACAATTTTTTATGTTATTAACTTGGCTTAAATTTAAGAATGATATACTCTGCCTCAATAATCTACTTTTCATATCATTCAATGATTGCTCTAGAAAATGCGGAATGTTAAAATCACCAACTATAATTGAATTCTTATTTACTGAAAAGAATTGCTCAAAGATTTCCAGAAATAGCTGGAACATATCTGACTTAATTTTTGGAGGGATATACAAATTTACAATAATCAAAGATCGATTGAAGCACAGAACTTTGCAACAAACTATGTCAACATTTGGAACAGTAGTAAAAATGGTCATGTCCATACTATAAGCAGAAAACTTTGCATTGGCGGCTATGAGAACACCTCCACCTTTGGAACAATTTGTTAAACTTTTGCTTCTATCACTCCTGAACACTGTAATGGAATACTATCCCAGCCAATCCAAGTAACCACCTGTTTACGACACGGAGACCCCATGTCAACCACTCATTTCAATCTAGCACTGGAGGTAATAATTAGGCGAAGCGGAATCCATAGATCAGGCACCATATATGATAAAAGACACCAGAATCTGGCATTTGCAGATGACTTAACGTTCGTAACGAGAACAGTAAAGGAATTAAAGAAAATGACAGTGAACCTGATCAGAGAAGCAAAACGAATGTGACTAACGACAAACGAAGAGAAAACTAATAAAGATGACGAACAAAAAAAATTCACAAAAGGTATTGAAGATAACCGCGGAAGATGGAACTACATACGAGTTTGAAGAAGTAAAAAAGTTTAAATACTTAGGAGTAGTAATCACCAATAAGAACGAAGTAAAAGAAAAGATAGAAGAACGCATTATTTAAGGCAGTATGAACTTAGGAAGACTAAACAAGTTCCTTAGAAACAAAAATCTAAAACGACAGACAGTACTATATGCCTGCGAAACTTGGGCTCTAACAAAAGAATGGGAACAGAGATTAGAGATTTGGGAACGAAAAATACTACGGAAGCTATATGGAGGTAGCAAGGAACAAGAACAATAGAGTAGAAAAATAAATAAGGAAGTAGAAGAAGTACTTATATGGGAGAACCAAAAATTACCAAGATAATTAGAGCGCAAAGAACTAGATGGTTAGGTCACATAGGAAGAGCATCTGAGGATAGAACTATCGGGAAATTATTGAACCGTCTACAAGGTGGGAAGAAAAAGAAAGGACGACCAAAACTGAGATGGTTGGAAAACGTAGAAACGGATCTATGGGAAATGGGCATCGAAGATTGGAAAAGCAAAGCAGCCAACCGCAACCAATGGAGAGCCATCGTCAGAAAAGCCCAAGGCCTGTAGTGCTAATGTATATATAGCTAGTTGGAAATGGTCGTTTTAAATTTCTTTTTTTTTTTTGTATTTCAAAGCCGTTTTAAAAAACATTCAAGTAAATTGTACAATCTATGTACAACAATGAGTAGACCCTTCCAGGTAGAAGGGTCGTAAGCTTCACCCCCATCATTTTGTCAGTCGGTCTAAGTACCGAAAACGACCATTACGATTATACATTTCGATCACACAAGTTCAAGTTCGTACTGTAAGCGTAAGAGAAGTAAAGTGTTATTTGTTAACAAGGTGTTTCAATTCAATCTATCAACATTCGACTTTAACACTATTTAATGTACCTATTGAAAAAATATGCCCTTTTGTATTAAAAAAAAAGAAAGTTCGTGTCATTTCCGGCGAAACTGAAACTGATGCGACACCAGTAATCTAACCAGTTAATAGGCTGTGTTTCCTACATACAATACTGAACATGCCAAATTTCAATTTTTTATAGCAGTATTAATTTATTATTTGCCTTACAACCTTAATAAGATTCCCAGTAAGGGTACAAATTAACTTAATCTACATCATACAAATAAATCAATAAAATAAATAAAATAAATATTCGAGTTTTATATAATAGTAATTATTGTTCTATTCTTTCTGCTTGCCCATCTCTTGCCTTAGTTCCTTTATCTTCCATACTTCTTTCATCCAGTCCAGTCCTCTTCCATCCTCGCTTAGCACTTCTTCCCTACTTTTCTCCGATTCTCTCAATTCTTCACATCCTTATATGCTTTATTGTTTCTCGCTCTCTCCAACATATCCTACACCTTCTGTCAGTTTCATCCGTCCAAAAATTATTCCCTTTCTCTTCATTTCCACACCTAAACCTCACCATCATTCTTTTCTCCTTTATACTCTCTCTCTCTGTGTGTGTACTTTGGTACTTCATTCTTTACTATTTTTCTATACTCTGCATTATACATAACTAAACTCCGATATTCTCGATCTGCGTTCTTGCTTATCTATATTCTTATCTCTTATACTCAGTTCTTCTTTCATACTCCTTCCCATTTCTCTCATTCTCTCTGTTTCTTCACATGCATATCCCTTTCCTTCATAATACTTGTCTCTTTCGTTTCAAGCATGTTTTCCCCCTTCCTTTCTTATTTCTTTCCAACATTCTTGCAATATTTTATAACCACTTCTCTCGCTAAACTTCTCTTCGAATCCAACCGCCCTTTTATCCGCTTCCACTCTCATTTTCTCCATTTTTGTTTCTTCTCTCATTATATACTCCGGCGTATACTTTTCCAATCCCAATGTGCATTTTAAGTATTTTTCTTGCACTCTCTTTATTTCTTCATATTCCCTCCATCCCCAAATCTCAGCTCCGTACATAAATACACTTTTGATCAATCTATCAAACATCATCATTCTTCTCTTATAATCATCTCCAAATTTTCTCTCCCCTATTCCCCGTACTATTCCTATCACTTTGTTCGCTTTTCGGACCATTTCTTGACTATGCGCTTTATCTGAGTTATTGCTCTTTAATGTATATCCTAAGTACTGGAATTCTTTCACCTGTTCAATCTTCTTCCCTCTCCTTGCCCACTCTTCCTTCTCCTTTCTTACTTTCTTCCCAAACACCATTATTTTTGTTTTTCCACATTCAATTCCAATTCCTTTTTTTGTACGTCCTTCTCGAAACTTTTAATCATTGTTTTCATTTCTTCTCTTTTCTTTACCACGATCACCAAATCATCTTGGTACGCCAACGACCACACTTTCTCTTTGCCCACTACCATCCCTCTTGTCTGTCTTTTCTGAACATTTCATCTATATCTCCTAAATAAGCAGCAAACAATGCGGGACTGAGCGGGCATCCCTGTCTCACTCCTCAATTTATATAAAAACTCTGACTCTCTATTTCTCTATTCCATTCACTCTCACCTTATTTACTGTTTCTTCATATATTTCTTCCATTTTCGTTACCAGGTACGCATCTACTCCCTTTCTCCTCAAATACTCCCACATTTTCTCTCTATTCACGCTATCAAACGCTGTTTTGAAATCTATGAAGTATGAACAATGCGTACATTCGTCCACCCTCTTTCCTTATTTCTCTTCCCACTAAATGCCGCAAGATGTACACATTGTCCATAGTACCTCTTCCTTTCCTAAACCCTGCTTGACCATCTGGTAGCATACCCCTTACTTCCATCTCCTTTCATAACCTCTCATCTAGTATCATTACTTATGTCTTATTATAATTATTATACTTTCTCTCCACTTCCGAGGAAACCCTTTTCCCTTCCAAACTCCATCTACCACTTCCCATATCCTTTCTTTCACTCCTTTTGTCCCGAACATCCACGCTTCGTTCTGGATTCCATCTCCTCTGGTGCCTTTCCTCTTTTCAGTCTTTCAGTCTATCTTCCTATTTCATCTTCTGTTATTCCGAACCTCTCCACATTTCTTCCGTCGTTGTGATTCCTTTATTTATTTTGCAGCATTTTTCCGCACAACCTCCCAATAATTTAATAAAGTGTCTTTTCCATTCATGTATTTTGATTTTCCTACTGACTTCAGTTTTCCTTCTCCGTTCCTTGTTTATATATCTCCATACTTCTTCTTCTGTTTTCAGGGACTTTATTGTCTTCTCTTCTTGTTCTCGTTTTACTCTTTTTCCTTCTTAACATTTTCTCCTATAATTCTATCTTGCTTTGAAGTATACTCTTCTTTCCTTCCCCTGTTATTTTTCCATTTTCTAAATTTTTCCTTTGCTTTTCTCTGCAACTCACTACATTCTCATTTTTCTATTTCTTTCCTTTCGTTTCTTCTCTCTTGTGTTTGCTCTTTACCCTTGATTTTTATTTCCAGGAGCATGTGTTCTGATTCTACCCTTTCTACCACTTTGAAACTCTCTATTTCTTCCCACGCCTCTTCGTTGACAATCCCATAGTCTACAATTGATTCTCTCCTAGCCCTTAGGTAAGTCCATTCTCCTTATTCATCTCATTCCTTGTTTCCATTCAAAATTTCCCATCCCATTTCTTTTATTATCTTCCACAATATTTTCCCTTCTTTGTTATTTGCTTTGTCTTTTGATCCTCTTTTCTGTTCCTTTTCTTTATCTATTATTTTTGTCTCCTTATCACCTAGTCTTACGTTAAAATCCCCTCCTATAAGTATTTTTTCATCTCTTTTTCTTTTGTTTCCGTTTCTATGTTTATCTTGGTTTCCTCCATTTTCTTGCTATGAACGATTATTATTTCCCATCAATTATTATTATCCAGCTGTATTACTTTCTTCATTAGTCCGTTTTTATTATTACTTCCCTTTTCCAATTCTTGCATTTCTTTTCGAATTCCCATTACTATTCCCCCGCTTGCGCTCCCCTTTTTCTTTTCCTTTATCGCCCCTTGACACTCCCACACATATTCTTGTGGTAACGTCTTCAATTTTTTATACTTTAGATATTTGAGTGGAACAGGTACGCTGGGACACCCGGTATATGCAATATATGTATACCCATTTTTAACAGGCGCCTACATCTTTTGGACAGGGTTTACTTCTGGGTGATATGAAGGTAACACATTTTTGAACCTTCAATAGCTTTATCAATTCATACAAGTGAGGTTTTGTCTGTGTCGGATCAACAACAATCTCTTTTTCCTTTCAACCACTAGCACAGACTTCGGAAGTAAATCAGTATTTCGCTGAAGTTTTAACCACTGCGGGAAGTGTTTGCCCTGACGGGAACAAATAAATACTGTAAAACAATATAGAAAACAGGATCTTTACAAAACCGCTTTCATTTCCTGCATGGACGTTTCCCTTTGCTACTGGTTTATGTATTATTTTTCGACTTCCATCCATCCACTCGGTCCATTCCGTTCTAAAAAAACATACACATATTACAAAATAAAAAAATGGTATAAAATTATTTAAACAGAACACTAAAAAACTTAATTTTGCGAATGTAATTTTTTTTGCCTTATTCATTAATTTTTTTGAGTCACCTTGTCTAAGCAATTCTTAAAAATATGTATGCAGTCTTAAACCACAAGTATACAGTGTGTAGTTACAAGTGTATGTCCGATAAATACTGAAATCGAATGGGTGAAGAATCTAATGATAGAGAATTATATTTTATATTTTAATTTAAATCAAAAATATTTACGTACGATTTTTATAGTTAGTAATAACTTAAAATATTATTGTTTGTCATTGCTAAAACCTAAATATTGTCGATAACCCCTTCCGCCTCATCTTAACCATATCATTATCAACCATAAAATTTCATGAGACACAAACAATTGTGCAGAGTTCAACAACTTTAATTATCCGAAATCAGTTTTTAACGGAAAAAAGTGTCATGCAGAAATCTAAATCCAAGAATTGTCATTTGCGTTTTTGGGTCAAAAAATTGTGAAGAGAGGTAGAAATTATAACAGTGAAAGTTGTGATTACTCTTACCTTGTGATGTAAGCGTGAGAGCAGTTCATGTAATTGTGTTCCAGTGCTCATAGTTTGTTGCGTATTAATACCTCACACAGTTTTAGACAAAAAGTCATGCTAAGATCAAAAATATAAAACTGTGTTGCTTAAAGTACACGCAAAATTTGGTACAGTGATGTGTTTTAATTGCGAAGTGTGAGAAGTCTCGTGTATATCGCCTTCCTGAAACTAAATTTATTCATGTTATGTTAATTAGTTGATATTTTTTGTTCTCGCTGACGTCTAACCCAATAAAAAGAAAAATTTAACAGGAATCTTTCTTTTTATTGGTTCCATTTTTGAGGTGCCGGTTTATTTACCTACCGCCGGGAAACGATACAGTGTTAGCTGCAAATGCAAGCCTGAAGGTATGTTCCGTCTCTCTTGAACACTTTCGTGACGAAAACACAAGCCTGTTTTAATAAATATATAGCAGACGTCTGGGTGGTATGTTTTTAGTGTTCGATATTTTCTGGTCCGATTTACTACACTCACACCTACTTATAAATTACAACTTTTGAATATTTAAAAAAAAATACTTTTGTTATTATTGCTGTAAGTAGGTTTGCATTTTTTTTCGGTCAAGGTATGCCGGCTTTTGTGGGACTTTAGCAAATGTCATTCAACTAGATTGACAGTGTACTGTGATTTTGTTTTACTCGTGTGAAAAATTTCCATCACATCAGAAATGTCGTTAGAAGAAGCGTATCCTGTTAACATAAAATGCAAGGAAAAAATGGACACTACAAAACAGGATCTAGAAACCATCAAGGAATGGCTTAAAAAGCAACCACATCTACCAGACACATGGGGTATGTAATTTTTTCCTTATTGTTGAAAGTGTTTTCAAAAAGTTTAACCGAAAGTCGTTTGATAGTTCGTTTTTTAATTATTTTATTTGAGAATAAAAATTCTCCGGTTTATTAATGTTGCTAATAATAATAAAAATGAATAAAATTAGTCATTTAAATCGCAAATTTTTGTTTAGTAAATATTCATCAGTAGAGAGCGGATTTTATGAAATTTGCATATCCGTTATTTTTTGCATATAAGTCTTGATATTTAATATGTGAACGAATCATGCTAATTAAAAATGAATACAGCAATAAAAAAAAAGTGCATATTTGCATATATTTGCCTTCTGCTGCATATTTCACGTAACGGGTGCATATTTTGCATTTTTATCAATTTTTGTGCTACTTTGAAAAAAAAAAATGCCATTCGATCGGCATTTTTCTAGAAAGACGAAATTTCATGAATTATATTGCAAATATTGCCCTGAGCTTCAAATAACTGGGAAAGGTTTGGGTTTTATGGTAATTTGGAGGAACCACTGGGTGTTAAGCCATCCTTACAGGTAAATTCGGGTCCTAATTACTTTTGGAAATACCGTTCATTTCAATATTTTTGTTCGTTACTTAAGTGTATTAATGGTATGTTTTATGGTAGTCGAAGGGACGTTATCCTATTATTTTTCATCGTGAGTTTGCATTTAAGTATTTAAAGCGATAGAGATGTGTGTCAATATGTAGATAACTCAAATTAATTTATGAATTAAACCTTTTCCTGAACTTATTCTTCAAGAAGGAACGGTTTTTTGTTGTGCCTGCTCTAATCCGATAAGTATTTTTACATCTGTGGACGCAGTACGCAGTTTTTCTATTTACAAATACATACTTTAGAATCATCGGAAAAATTTCTGTTAGAATATTTCGAAAAATATTTAAAAATAAATTGTTACCAAAATAGTAATTAAATAGGTGATTACTACTATTTTTTAATTCGTTCTGTTTACCTATATTTATTTTTTAGTATAAGAATTTTATCTTAAAAAATGTCATTTATTTGTCAGTGAGATCTAATTAAACACTTTGCAATGTGATTTATGTATTTTTTGTAATAAAAGGTAAGGTGTTTTTGCAATTTGTAAATAAATTTAGTTTGGTTATTACGCTTTTTTTTATTTTTGGAGCATATGCAACTGCATATCTCTGCATATATTAAGAAAGTTATTGCATATTTGCATAAATTTGATGCATATCATATGATCATATTTCCCAAAATTTTGCTGCATATTTTCCGCTCTCTATTCATCAGTAATTTAACACCTTCGGTCTACGTTTATTTAAACTTAAAATTATTTTTAATTTGTATTTTTGTTTTAGATGATGAAATGCTGATGGGATATCTAAGAAACTGCAGTTTCTCCTTGGAAAAAACTAAAACCAAACTAGATAAATATTTTACCATGAAAACTGCCCTTCCAGAAATGTTTGCAAATCGTGACTTTACAAAACCAGAGTTCCAAAAATTGCTGAAGTTGGTGTAAGTAAAGCGTGTTAAATATATTTACTGAGCGAAACATGCGTCAGTCATATTAATTCATTTTATCCGCTAATTACTCACGTTATTTTAATGAGTTATTTTGACGCCACGCATTTTAACAAAACAAGATAATTATTTTTTTCTATTGTAGAGAGTAGTATTTTAATTTACAAGAAAAACTTTTTTTTAATACACTTAAACCAACTTCTAGGATTTCTAAGTGGTTAACATTGACTTTTTATAATTCAATAAAAACTCATTATTAAGTATTCCCGTTTAAGCTGCAAATAGGTTATATTAGAAACAGCTTACTAAATCTTGAATTTTTTTTTACATTCTGTGTACAAAGTTATAAATTGACACGAAGTATTTTAGTGTGAGCTTTCTTATTACTTTTGAAAGTTCGAATATAATAGTTTTTTATAATCTACTTTTTTCCAGTGAAGTGGGTGTTATGCCCGGTTTAAACTCCGATGGCTACTCCGTCTACGCGGCTCGACTCCTAGCTTCCGAAAACGACGATTTAGATTTTTCCCTTGTCCCTAAAACAATTTTGATGATTTGCGACATCTACATTAAAAAAGAAGTCGTAGGGGGACCTGGCGACGTTTTCGTTGTTGACGCGAGCCGTTTCCACCTTAAATATCTCGCCCAAATAACACCAACTCTGGCTAAGAATTTCTTCACCTTCGTGAACGACGCTATTGCTGTCAAAATTAAGCAGTTTCACATCATTAGAGCAAGCGCAATTGTGGAATTCTTTATAAAATTTCTGTCGCCATTTATGAAAGAAAAAATTAGAAATAGGATACATGTGCACGAAGACTTGGACACGTTGTTCGATTACGTTCCAAAAGGTTTATTACCCGAAGAATTTGGAGGAACTGCTGGAAAATTGGAAAAGCACATGGATGAAGTGCTGGTCGCTGCGTATGAATATAACTCGTGGTTGAAGGGGCAAGAAGATGTTAAAGCAGATGAAACGAAGAGAATGGGACGATCTGTGAACCAAGACAATTTGTTTGGGATGGATGGTAGTTTCAAAAAATTAGTGATAGACTGATGGCTGACGAAAGTGATATATTTATTTAGAATTTCTCTAGAAAATAAGTATGAATCTATTTCAAAGTGACTGTGAAAATTTTCGTATTAGTGCAGAAATATTTAAAAAAATGTTGTTACAACTACAGAAAAGTTGTTACAATTTTCAGAAAACAAAGGTAGATATCGAAGTTTCAATAAATGTCTGTTTATACTCCTTTAACTTATGTTAAAAAGTTAAAAAAAAAATGTTATTTTTTTATATAAATATTTACTTCAACTTATACTTCCAGTTTAGAAATAGTGACTACTGTAAGTGGATATAAGTTGTAATAATAAACGCATACTATGCTCATTAGGGTCCTTATTTTACTTAATTCAAATAAATCTTGATCCTTCACTAGCAAAATCTACATTTTTTGTCAAATTAGCCATAAATATTGTTATGAAATTCTTTCTAATTCATGTAAATAGAACTGAATTTTGGTAACACTACATTCAATCTAATTTACATATACAACAATTTTACAGACGTGTTTACAACAATAACACAGCGGTTTTTTATACCGTGTTCAAAATGCATCCACTATGAAGTCGTTTTTAATGGCTACTATAAATTGTTTGTCCTAGGTCGTGAAACTGAATCAAAAGTTCAAATTAAATGCAAAACAATATTTAAAACTAACTGTCATTTTACACGTTTATGTAGGTAGATAACTGTGGTAATGACCTTCCTGACGCACTAGTAAATCACTCGCGGCGATGGAATTACCGAGGTTGTTGTCTTCAGAAAAAAAGCATTCGGAACTTTGGATATATTTTGTTCAGTTCCTTCGATGCAAAAAAATGATGCGCTGTCTCGTGGAAAATTACCTTGTGTACCATGTTATCTTACCGACTTTGATATATATTTTATGTTTGGGTGTTAAGTTTTTACTGGATGTATCCGTATGATTAACAACTTAATTTTGAATCTGTAAAAATCGAATGCTTTGAAATAATGCAGATGTTTTATGGTTATCGTAAACATGTCAAATTTTTAATCAAAACATATTTGTTGGCTCTATAAGTTATTATAAGTCAAAATTTATCCGTTAATACCCCCCAGGAGTTGATGATGTCATCTTACAATTTTGTCGAATAAATGTTATTTAAGTGTTAAAAAGTAGCATAGTCCTGAACTTGTGGTTCATAAATACCCTATTAAGATTTTTCGGCTTTTCGACTTCTCGATTTTTCAATTTTAGATGTTTTAATTTTTCAATATTTCAATTTTAACTTTTTCAATTTTTCCATTCTTCAAATTTTCGGTTCCTCGATTTTTATCCTCTTCAATTTTACGGTTTAAAAAAATTTCGATTTTTCAATTTTTCAAATATTGACGTTTCTAAATTTTCAGTTTTTCGATTACCGAAGAAATCGTTTACCTATTTATTTTCCGATTTCTCCACTTTCAAAATTTTTATTTTTCAATTCTTCAATTTTTCGATTTTTCAAGTCTTTGATTTCTCAATTTTCCCTTTTTTTTAATTTTTCAAATCTTTTCGATATCTCTTTCAGTTTTGGAATTTTTCAATATTCGATTTTTTGACTTTTCGATTCTTGCGCTTCCGGGTTTTTGATTTCTCGATATCTTACTTTTTGGATCTTCAATCTTTCGTTAAATTTTAGATTTTTCAATTTTTCGACTGCTTTATACTTCGATTTCTTAATTTTTCAACTTTTCGATGTTTTAATTTTTCAATTTTTAAAATTCTAGGTTTTCCATTTCTCGAGTTTTCAGTCCTTCTATATTTCAATTTTTCATTTTTCCGAATTTTTAAATGTTTGATTTTCCAATTTTTCTTTTTAAAATTTTTCGATTTTTCAATTTTTTGATTTCTCGATTTGTCGAATTCAGATGTTTGGATCTTTCGATTGTTCAGTTTCTCGATTCATCAATTTTGCAATTTTTAACTTTTCTTCTCGGCTTTCGAATTCTCGATTTCTCAATCCCTTGATTTTTCGACTTCTCGGTGTCTCAGTTTTCGAATTTTTCAATGTTCGATTTTTGGATTCCTCGGTTTTTCGATGTTTGGATTTTTCAGTGTTTAGATATTTAAATTTTAGATTTTCGAATTTTTATTTTTTGATTTTGCGATATTTTAATTTAATGTTTTAGATCTTAGATTTTTTGTTTCCTCGATTTTTTGATTTTTGAGTTCTTTAGTATTTCTATTTTCCACTTTCTCAAATTTTGACGTTGCTAAATTTTCAATTTTCCGATTTCTCAAGTAATCTATTTTTGATTTTCCCATTTTTCGACTTCTCAAAGTTTCGATTTTTAGGCTTTGCTTTTTTGGTGTTTCGATTTCGCAGTTTTCCAATTTTTTAATTTCTCATTTTTTTTGGATATTTCTTTCAGTTTTGGAATTTTTCAGTCTTTCGATTTTCCGACTTTTCAATTTTTGCACTCCTGGATTTTTTGATTTCTGGATTTCTTACTTTCTGGATTTTCAACTTTTCAGCTTTTCGATGTTTTAATTTTTCAATTTTTAAAATTGTAGGTTTTCCATTTTTCGATTTTTCGAATTTTTAGATGTTCGATTTTCCAATTTTTCGTTTTTAAAATTTTTCGATTGTTAAATTTTTTGATTTATCGATTTATCGAATTCAGATGTTTGGATCTTTCGATTGTTCAGTTTCTCGATTCATCAATTTTTCAATTTTTAACTTTTCTTCTCGGCTTTCCACTTCTCGATTTTTCAATCCCCTGATTTTTCGATTTCTTGATGTCGCAGTTTTTGAATTTTTCGATCTTTCGATTTTTGGATTTCTCGGTTTTTCGATTTTTTACTTTTGGGCTTCTTAATTTTCCGATTTTCCAATTTTTCAATGTTCCGATTTTTCAGTTCAATTTTCCGATTTCTCAAGTAATCTATTTTTGATTTTCCCATTTTTCGACTTCTCAAAGTTTCGATTTTTAAGCTTTGCTTTTTTGGTGTTTCGATTTCGCAGTTTTCCAATTTTTTTAATTTCTCATTTTTTTTGGATATTTCTTTCAGTTTTGGAATTTTTCAGTCTTTCGATTTTCCGACTTTTCAATTTTTGCACTCCTGGATTTTTTGATTTCTGGTTTTCTTACTTTCTGGATTTTCAACTTTTCAGCTTTTCGATGTTTTAATTTTTCAATTTTTAAAATTGTAGGTTTTCCATTTTTCGATTTTTCGAATTTTTAGATGTTCGATTTTCCAATTTTTCGTTTTTAAAATTTTTCGATTGTTAAATTTTTTGATTTATCGATTTATCGAATTCAGATGTTTGGATCTTTCGATTGTTCAGTTTCTCGATTCATCAATTTTTCAATTTTTAACTTTTCTTCTCGGCTTTCCACTTCTCGATTTTTCAATCCCCTGATTTTTCGATTTCTTGATGTCTCAGTTTTTGAATTTTTCGATCTTTCGATTTTGGGATTTCTCGGTTTTTTGATTTTTTACTTTTCGGCTTCTTAATTTTTCGATTTTCCAATTTTTCAATGTTCCGATTTTTCAGTTCAATTTTCCAATTTCTCGATTAATCAATTTTTGATTATCCCATTTCTCGACTTCTCGAAGTTTAGATTTTTCAGTTTTTCAGTTCTTCGATTTTTCAGGTTTTTCATTTTTTGGTATTTTGATTTCTCAATTTTTCAGTTTTTTAATTTCTCGATTTTTTTGGATATTCCTTTCGGTTTTGAGATTTTTCCATGTTTTATTTTTTGGATTTGCCGTTTTTTAAACTTTAGATTTTTTAATTTTTCGACTGTTTTATATTTCGATTTCTCAATTTTTCAACTTTCTGATGTTTTAATTTTTAAAATTTTAGATTTTTCGAATTATCGAGTTTTCAGATCTTCTATAGGTATTTTAATTTTCAATTTTCCGAATTTTTAAATTTTCGATTTTTTAATTGTTTCAAATCTCGATTTATTCTTTTCGAGTTTTTGACTTCTCGGTTTCTCAATGTTTTAATTTTTCGACTTCTCGTTGACTCAGTTTTTGAATTTTGCGATGATTCGATTTTTCGATTTGTCGCTTTTTCGATTTTTTACTTTTCAGCTTTTCGATTTTTCGATGTTTCGATTTTTGAATTATCCCTTTTTTTCAATTTTCAATTTTTCGATTTTTTAAATTAGCGATTTTTTGATTTTGCTTTTTTGACTTTTCGATTTCTCAATTTTTCAATTTTTAAATTTCCCAATTTTTAGATGTTTCGTTCAATTTTGTGATATCTCAGTTTTTTGATTCTACAAGTTTTCTCCTATTTTTCAATTTTTCGGTATTTGAGTTTAGGGATTTTTCGATTTCTCAATTATTCAACTTTCTGATATTTTAATTTTTAAAATTCTACATTTTTCAATTTCTCGAGTTTTCAGGTCTTCTATATTTTAATTCTTCAATTTTCCGAATTTTTAAATTTTCCATTTTACAATTTTTTGAGATCTCGATTTATTGAGATTCGGATGTTTCGATGTTTTGATTGTTCAATCTCTCTCAATTTTTTGAGATCTCGATTCATTCGTTTCGATTTTTCGATTTTGGCCCATTTTGGTTTCTCAATTTTTAAATTTTTCGACTTCTGGGCTTCCAATTTTTAAATCTTTCGATTTTTCGACTTCTCGATGTCTCAGTTTTTGAATTTTTCGATTTGTCGCTTTTGTGATTTTTTTACTCTTCGGCTTTTCGATTTTTCGATTTTTGAATTATCCCTTTGTTCCATTTTCCAATTTTTTAATTTTCGAGTTTAACTATCTCGATTTGTTGATTTTGCAGTTTTTGGATTTTTAAATTTCAGATTTTAGAAATTTCATTTTTTTGACTTAGATTTATCCATTTTTCAATTTTACGATATTTTAATTTTTCACTGTTTTAAATTTAAAATTTTTCGGTTTTTCAGTTCTTCAATGTTTATTAATTTTTCAAAGTTTGACGTTTCTGAATTTTCATTTTTCCCATTTCTCAATTAATCTATTTTTTCATTTTCCCATTACTCGATTTACCAAAGTTAAGGTGTTTCAGTTCTTCGGTTCTTCAATTTATCGATTTTTCAGGTTTTTGATGTTTCAATTTTTCGATTTTTTAAGTTTGCGATTTTTCGACTTTTCGATTTCTCATTTTTTTTTAATTTCCCAATTTTAGGTTTTCGTTCAATTTTGTGATTTTTCAATTTTTCGATTTCTCGAATTTTTGCTTTTTGGATTTTCACTTTTTC